GTGCTTCAACGCCCCTGTCACACAAACGAACCGCACAGAAGCAATAATATCCCTAGCGATGCCATCTTAACGCCAAAATTTCAAGCCAAAATACTCCGGATACCACGGGTTGCCTATTAAAATACATCTGCCTATTAAATATTATTAAAACATAACATAGAATCCTATTTTTTTATATATTTGTTTAATATTTTTTTAAATAAATATTTTTTCTCCATTTTAATTTTAATTAAAAACAACATAGATTCACCACAAAATACAAAGATTCCAATCTTAAAAAATTCACAATAGGATTCGGTAATTTCATTACGAATTACCTAGCCTTAGAAAATATTTGTTCAATCAAATTTTTATTTTTATCCATAGGTCCCAATATTTTTTTCTACAAAATAAGTTACTATCCAAAATTAAAATACACCTTAAACCTTTTCCCAAGATAACCTCACTACAAAATAACCCATAAAAACCATTTTAAAGCGACCTTAAGGCCACCCATTTTGTATAGGAAATTCGAATAAGAAAAAAAAATAATAATAACCAAAATTAAAAAAATAACAAGAATACCACCACCAAAAACAACAACCAACAACAACAACGAACAACAACAACAACGAACAACAACAACGAACAACGAACAACAACAACAAACAACAACAACAACAACACCAACAACAACAACAACAACAACGACAACAACAACACCAACACCAACACCAACGCCAACGCCAACGCCAACACCAACACCAACACCAACCCCAACGCCAACGCCAACACCAACACCAACACCAACACCAACACCACCAACAACAACAACAACAACCACAACCACAACCACAACAACAACAACAGCAACAACAACAGCAACAACAGCAACAACAGCAACAACAGCAACAACAGCAACAACAGCAGCAACAGCAACAACACCAACACCAACACCAACAACACCAACACCAACACCAACACCAACACCAACACCAGCAACAACAACAACAACAACAACAACAACAACAGATCCATGAGAGACCTACCGAGCGACAGTGGACGCAAAACCAAAGCTCCCAGAAGACCCTTTTTCGAATGGAACTGAAAGACCGACCGAGCGACAGTGGGGCCGAAAGTGCACTCAAAAGAGTGATAGACGCATGCGGTACATGCAGAAGAACGGAAACGTAAAACGAAAGCTCAACTGATCCATGAGAGACCTACGGGGGAAACTCAGAAGACACATGCTCAAACACAACTGAATACCGAGCGACACTGGACCAGGGAGGAATCGAACCCCCGACCGACCCTGACCGACCGTACTGCATTTGCTTAGTGGGACACTGACTGGGGAGAAGAGAATTTTTCCCAAAAAAGTATCACTTTTTTGGGAAAATCAAAAATGATTTTCCCAAAATAGTAGTAAAATTTCGACCTCCGCGCAGGGGGCTCAGGAAGCACAGACTTAGTTTGTATTCGCGCAGACTAAGTTTGTATTCGCCAATTTTCCCAAAAAAGTAGCAGATTTTTGATTGGCCTCGAGAAACTGCGCCCACGCGCTCTGGGTCAGGCTAGATCGTAATATTAGTAGTAATAAAATAATATAAGATATTATTGTATATCATTGTATTTTTTCATCTTTCATCTAACCAGATGGTTCCGCACCCGCCTCTTTAGCGAGCTTATTTTTCGACCCTCCGGAGCCACAAGACAATGGAAAAAAATTAAAAAACACATTGTTTAGCAACGTTTCTACCTTTTCGCGCACCTCCATCTTCTTCTTCTTCTTCTGACTCTTTCTCTTCTCTGATCTTCTTTCTTCTTCCTTTCTCTTCTCTGACTCTTCCCACCTCTGCTTTTCCATCTGTCCATATTGTCGGAAGTTTGACTTCTAAACTTCCTTCCTTTATATATATATAGATATATATTCATTTTGATATATATATATATATATATATGTATATATATATCGATCTTTGATATTTATTTTATTTTGTATGTTTAATTTCAAAGGAATTCGGCTATGTCGTTGTCAACAGGTTTTCCAGTCCTTAGTATTCATCAATCTCCGTTTATGATCATTCGCAATAACGTTGATTAAATTTACATAGTATGATCTTGAGTTCTGAAATTTTTCGTGCTTGGTTTCTAGTCCTGTCATTCAGTTGTTAGATTTATGTGAGGTCTTCAAGGT